ACAATCTCTGTAAGATTAAGGTCGACTATTGTATTATTATATTTTAAAGGCTTTAAAACCAAGTAAACGCTGAAAGTACAAACATCACTAATGTCACATAACTTTGCCGACATGTGGCCAACAGTAATGTTTTAATGTTCTTCATTATTAAACATTTGCACATAAATAAGTGACATCATATTCAGTACTTACTTTTGACAGTTTACCCTTTGACCGCTCCGCTTCTGTCGTCTGCGGCAAAATTATCCACACCGACTGCCGCGCTATGAATTGTGGGATATGTACACCGCCACAGCCTTAAAATTCAGGGAAATGAAGGCCACATTTGAGGGCCGCATTTCGAGCAGCCTTTGAATTGGGACAGCCTTCGTCGCGCCGCCGATTACGTTATCGGCCTTTAAGGCTGCAGACCCTGGATTGGGACACAGCCTGAGCAACACTCAACTCCTGATGACCTTGTGCCGTTTGCCTACCTCACCTGTCCTGGTCGTGTTTCAGGGATTATATATGGTCTTTGGCCCCCTCTAGTGGTAGTTGCGGTCAATTGAACTCGGATCAGGTGGACAGTCAGCTGACTTTTGCACAAGCAGGAAGGGGAAGTCGCAGACTAGTCATGTCAAACAGTTAATATATTTTTGTGCGTTTCTTTTATTTAATAGACGAAGGTTTCAAACTTTTAAAAAATGTTCGTTGGGGACGATGAGGACGGAGACTTCTTGTCTCCCACAGGAGGGTGAGTTGGTTTTGTACTCCGAGCTAATGCTCTTTAGGCTATAAGCTAACTAGCTCACCAGGATTTAGCCCATGTTCTAGCCGTTGACCCAGCTTTCATTTTAATCTTTGTATTAATCGTGATTAAATGGAGTCCACCACCATTAAAAAAGTCTAAAGAGCAAGCGGATCATTTTAAGCCCCTTTCTAACATGTAGTACATATTTCAGTTATGGTTTTAATTCCCTTTGTTACGTGTTTTACCGGAATATCAAGAGAATCCCGGTGAAGTGATGTGAAGTTTTGTCAAAGCAACATATCTGTGCCGAATTTCAAAGTGACCTCATATACACAATGAAGAAAATAAAACGGCATTTAAGTGAAGTTCAGGACTATTAATGCAGTGTAAAGTTAACAGGTATGAGCGGGTGTGAATCGTTTTGTCATGCAAAGTGTGACCTCTTATAGGTTTGCGGCAGTATGATTATATCAAACACCCCGGTGTTGGTTCTGCCTGCTCACATGATTCTGTGGCTCATTTTCCAAGTAGCATTCATGAATGTAGCTTCTCAGACTGTTCAAGCCTTCATCAAATGTAATTTTTCTTTCGTGTCTATCTGTCGCCCGCAATAAAAGCATAAAAGAAGTAGATGATTTTATCAGGCAAAAACCTGCAAAACTTGGTGGCTTGTTGTTTTTTTAAACACACACATCTTGAACATGGGCTAGCGCGATGACGTTTACCCCTTTTCACAGTAAACGTCATCGCGTTCAGAAGGACGCTACTGCAAATTAAAGAGTTTCATTATTTTCATTTACTGAAGTTATTAACTTATTTTATGGACAGGTGCGTGAAAATTAGTTGGTGCGTGATGTTTTTTCATGCGTGAACTGGACACAGACTTTCTTGTTTAAAAATGTGTGTGAGTGAGGAGAGATGCTTTGCACACAGGGTGAATGAGCACAACAAGATCTGACATCGGGATATTTTCTTTTCAGAAAAAATGAAAGCCAAGTAAATTGTGAGATACTGGACTGTTGTTTGAGCTTCAAAGTGTTCTTGAAAAACATTTAACCCATCCTGCCCTCAATGTAAGCAGTACAGGATTCCTCAAGCCAGCTTACTGAACCACATTCTGACTATTAACATCTAACTGGTAAATGAAAATGAATGTATTTACTATGGAAGCGTGCATGTGCATATAAAGAGGTTACTTCTAGAAACTAAAACCACAAAAGCAGCATGATATGGGACGTCTAAAACT